AAATGCAGCTAGCCGCCAGCTAGGCTAGGCGAGCGTTCAGACTTGTAGCGCTACAGCTGTAGCGTGACGTAACGCTACAAGTCTGAACGCTGCCTTACTGTCATGAACTCAATCTGGTTAATCGGCTTATATCTCCCTATAGATAGGAAAAAACGCTTTCGGAGTCCTTTTAGCGCGGGTATCTCACGCGTAGGCCAAGATCTCGCGGGAAGCATTGTCGGTCTAACCGGCATTTATCGGTAGTGTCAGCGAGGCGGAGGTGGTGTAGTGACAAGCGCTTACCACTCGCGCGGTCCCGGGTTCAAATCCCGGGTCGACTCCCGCCCAGGCCAACCAAGCCTTCTACCCTCCGGGGACGGTAATTGGTACCAGATTCGTCTGGGAGGATAAAACACTGCATTCAATAAGCCACTACGATTCTGAATGGAAGTAGAATGCGTGCCGCATCCCACAAAGGGATTGATTAACGGCGAAGACTTCATTATTTATCCTTTATCAGCAGGTCTGCCACTCTAACCGACACCCGTACCCGATTTTCGTCCCTGCTCCACCCAGACAACCAAGCTTTCTATCCACAGGTGTAAATCGGTATCAGATTCGTCTGCGGGGATAGCAACACTGACTTGTACATCGGCTGGCCCCCGCAAGTCATTGTATAGGCCACATCGCATTCAATAAGCCACTACGATTCTGAATGGAAGTAGAATGCGTGCCGCATCCCACAAAAGGGATTGATCTAACGGCGAAGACTTTACCATTTATTTATAAAAAGGTCTATCCCCCTGCAAAATGCTCGTTAATGCCTAAGCCCAACATACTGATCGTCTCATCAGTACAGGTTTTCCCTAAAGTTGTGTGCTAATATTGGTTTACAGCATACCTTCTGAAAAACACACTTGTGGTAGATACCTTTTTCTTGCAGTAATAGTAGTAGCTGTTGTAGTGGTGCTATGAAAATTATGATTGGTTTTTGTCACCGGATACAGGGTTTTATTTTGAGGTTTCGCGAATACGTGAATTCTCGTTCCGGCAGAGCTTACCTTTGTAAACACGGCTGTCTCCCTCCCCTCAGGGACAGCTTTACAGCGATGTGCTGACCTCTACGCATGTGCACTTTTGATGCTGCTCGAGTTTTTGAGGACCTCCTAGAAGTAGCGCTTACAACGCTGGACGGGAATGAAGAGCTGACAATCTGACAAGCGAAGTCACCTAGAACCACTGCAATGCGTTTTTGTTAAAGCGTTCGAGAAGCACGGATTTGAAAATTGAGTCTCATCTCTTCTGAAGACATATTTTGGCCGGATCCACTCGTAGTAGAGTTTGAAGCGACCTCTGTCACTGCTTATTTTTCTTCTTTCGAAAGTTGAGAGTATGGAGAGTTCCGGGGCTGCAAACAGTTTTCTACAAGAGACTGGGGTTAGAGAGGGTCAGTTAGAAGAAGAACACCGCAGGGGTGAATGAGAATTATAGTAGGTCTTAAATAGTTTCAGTTTTTGAGCTAGTTTACTTTATTTTATTATTTTTTCGCTGCTTTTTTGTTACCATGCTATGGTGAGATATGGGGAATTACATAACGCCAAAAGAAAGTAAAATGGATGCGAATCTTTGGAGAATCATTTTTATTCGACTTTGCTTATTTCCTACATTGTGCAGAATTTCAGCTGATGCATCGGATTCTTGAGATTTCCGCCAAATGGAGTATCGGGCTTGAACCAAGCGAGTTGAGAGGCCAGACGTCCTTAACCCCAAATTCCGGAAACAGCTCTCTACAAACGGCAGTCGTATTTGCAGAATGTCCTGCAGCCTAGTATTGCTGAAGCACAAACCCTTCCGGACCGAAGCGCTGCGACACCCATGACTTCAGTACATCGCGAAGAATCCGTTGTTGGTAGCCCCAGACCATGACTGAGGCAAGAAAGAGTCTGCGTCCGACGGATTTCGCAGCCATTGCCTTCTGCTGACCTTTTCTGAGGAGCTGACGACAATTCCGGTAGTTGTGATCGAAAAATTTTTTCGTCGGTGGAGAGCACATTCTTCAAGCAACCAGCACCGACCAGAAGATGCATCTCAACAACTGTGACCTTTTGATTTTCTCGAGACATTGTGAGGAGAAATCGAAAGTGATTGGATAGATGACTCGTAGAACACAAAATTGCCAGAACTTTCTGGTCACCCTGTAGAGTTATAGTCGTAGTTGCTCTCTCTATGCCTATCGAGTCATCTAGTTAAGAAATGCTCTACAAAGGGGCGCGACGCCGCGACTGCGCAGCTGAAAAGTAATGCTTCACACCCTCCTCATGTAGTGTTCGCGCGCCAAGATAGATATTTTCTTTCTGTTTATCAGCTGTTTAACTTCTCGTTCCAGAAACGACCAATTTTTTTATCATTCGTTTAAATGGTATTTTTGAGGATTGAAAACATGGCACAACTTCAGCCCTTCTTTTCTAGATCCTCGATGCAACAAATACGACAAGGGCCAGGCGTCGGACGATCATTGATTATTGCAAGAATAGGAGAACGCTCATCGATCCACCGTTTCGATTGTTTTTCGTGGAAAGTGTCTGCGATGATCCAGCAATTATAAACTTCCAACATAACGGTAAGTGAAGCTGTATTTATGGTGGAAATTGGTCGCTGTATCAGAGCACGTCCTATTGGGGAATCTCCAGGGGGGAGGGGGGGCTGCGTCGTATTTGCCTCTGATTGTGAGAATAATTCGCCGCTTTGTCCAGTTATACTTTTCGCGGTTCATATACCCCCTCCCTCCAAAATTTTGAGAGAACTAGAGAGAAATATTTGGAAAATTTCTGTAAAAGTGGTAGGAAGCATTGAAAAGCGGTTTGACGAAAAAGGCAGGGCAGGAAGTAGGGTCGGAAGGGGACGAGGGGGAGGTCGATATTATTCAGAAACTTCCCCCAGCGGCAGAACGTGCCTGCGATATGAACTCTGCGCGGTATCAAGAGGCGCGAAGCCAAGTCGTTTTCCTTGTCTACCCGCTCCAACGATTGATGGAGAACAGATGAGTGCTGCGCCAAACCCAGCCTCCTGACACGTCAAAGGGTTTGCACCAAAGCGACTGTACGTAAACCGATGCTGCTCCGTTACTTCATTCTATTTTTAGCTTGTTATTCATGGAGTTATGGGAGCTCAATTTGAAAGAATTGCAGCTTCCAATGAACGCCTCATGGTTCATTTACAGGAGGTGAAAATCAACTCGCCTGACTACAAGGGTATAATGTCGCAGGAGGACGCCAAGGAAGATTTCGTGAAGCGAATAGAAAACTATAAGCTACAGTATGAACCGCTTGACCAAGAAGAGGACGAAGATTTGTCCTTCATTAAGGTATGCAGATTCCTTATTTCATTTTTTTGATGACTCATTCCGCTTCTGCTCATTTTTTACATCGCTTTTTCATGATTGTAGTCACATTGCTGACGAATAAGGGAGAGCATTTGGGTGTGGGTCAGAAGGTCCGAATCGATGCCGCACAGTGTGAGCGACGGCGTAATGTCATTGTCTCTGTAACGGGAGGACGTGGGAAGGGGCATAGATGGGGCGCACCAAAGCAGCCTTTTTCACCAATCATTGCGGGCTCAGGATGGCATTCATTGGTGGAACAAGCCGCTCCATTCGACATTCCCTCGCATGTCCCTCTTCGCAGAAACAATGGCTGTAAGTAGCGTCGCGTGTTTAGCATTTATCCACAGCGAAGGTAAGGCACGACGATATTTAGTTTGGACCTCTTGTCCCGCACCCTGACAAATTCACTCTCAACGCAGAAATGAAGACATTCAGGTAATCAACGCTGGCAAGTCGTTCTACGTCCAGAATGTCAACGGCCACGTACAGAGTCGCGTGGTGTATTTCTTGATGAACATTCACCTACTACCTCGATGCATCTATTTGACCCGAGTAAGTTTCTCTTGAGAAGGACTGCAG